TAATGATTAAATCTGTCTACAGAGTCTGTCTCTTATACACATCTTCTTCCCCCATAACTTGATGTGAATTTGTTGAACTGTTACTTTCCATGCGTGTTCGTGAGTGTGAGTTCACATGTGTTAAACTGGAAATGTTTCTGTGTGGTTTGTACATCTTATTTTCTAAACTTAAGTCTTGTAAATCCGCATCGTAATCTTCATCGCTGTCACTCTGTCTCTTATACACATCTAGATGTGTATAAGAGACAGACCATATATACCAAGTTATATCTAAAAAACAGAACATAATAAATATCTCACAAAGTGGATTGAAAAACCTGGATGTTGTTGAGGTCGTCACTGTTTATTGTGTTCTTTAGTAGTGGGCGTCTGCTATCTGGTTTATGGTTCTGACAACAGATCTTTGCAGTGTAATGATTTTAGTCAATTCTATATAGGCCTATTGGTCTGTACTGGTTGGTTTTATATGGATTTAATAACCCGAAACTACGCCAACTACTTCTTCTTCTCTTATGTCGAATAATCGCTGTCAAGGAAAGTATGTTTCACTGTAGTATGGTAAATTGGTACACATGGTGAGATTTTTGTTCATAATTGTTTGACCATGGACCTAACATGGACATTGCTACTTGGAATTTATCGAAAATTATCTTGCTTTTATGTTCAGTTCCCCTTCTTTTTTTCTTATCTTATCAAATAACATTTTCTATCTTTCAAGTCTTTTATAATATATTACCACTGTCTTGATCGCCATTTTTGAAAAACTCTTCGTCTATGGCAGACAAATGTGACTGTTCCTATTCATATTTTTATTGCTTAGGCGAGACATTTTTTTATATCTTGTTTAGCGAATCTGCCGCCTGCAAATTGTGATTTCGAATAAAAATAACATTATATTTTTGGCCAATTAGCACACCTGCCATCATATCTATTATGCACACTGCTGTCTTGAAATCCCCAAAATAAGATATGTATATTTCTTCCTCATTAAATAAATTTAAAGCATTTAACCGTCCCATTACTACACTGTTTACATTCACCAATAACATTATATTTATATTTTCTCCTCCGTCTGAAAGTTTTTGGCAAAACTATTTGCCAAATGAAAAACCTAAATTGTATTTTTATTTTTCTTCCGCCATCCTTTGACGATGTTTAAGAAAATAAGTTTGCGAAACAAGGTATAAAAAAGTCTAGCCTTATCTTCAATACAAAAAGGAAAAAAAGTTGAGTGTTTGCATACATGTTTATTTGGGTAAATATGCAGTGAAGGATAAATTCTTATTTTTAAAAATCTTTAATGTTAAGCACATCGAAGCACCAGTATTTTGCACTGTACAATTATAACGTTACATTATTATTATTATTATATTAGACCATGTGAAAGAAGATGTGAAGCAAACACACATTTGTGTTTTAATGCACAAATTAGTTATTTATTCTGGTTTCTGGCTGTAAAAATACTTTCAAATTGTATAAAAGTGGAAGTATAATGTTGGATAAATAAAGTATAATGTAATCTATTGGAAGTATAATACCCATTATTGTCTATTTACAGTGGCGGTGCCAGTGTCTGAAAAGGAGGGGGGAAATTAAGGGCATGGTACAATTTTGGGGGTGGGGGCAATGGTTCCCGACGAGAGCAAAGTGGTCGGGCGTCGAATAAAATGTTGTAGAAAGTGGTCCAGGTGACGGATCCTCAGAAAATATGACAATTTAGGTGTTTCAGAGGCTTATCATTTCTAATATCTAGAAAATACATGTAATTCTTTTTCCTCCCCAACAAATTTTGGTTTTTCTTCATTTTTGGGGGTGGTAGGGGCAAGAAAATTTTCTGGGGGAGGGGGAGAAATACTGTAGCGCCACCACTGTCTATTTAAGAAGTTAAAACCAGTCCATACTATGTTTAATAGTATCTGCATTTTCTCTCCTTTTCCCAGTAACTAAATTAGCTTCGCCTTTTGTCCTCCGCCTTCTCCTCTCGGTTGCTTTTTTCTTTTGTAAACTCTTCTTCACTTTTGCCTTCACCATATCTTCCCCCATAACTTGATGTGAATTTGTTGAACTGTTACTTTCCATGCGTGTTCGTGAGTGTGAGTTCACATGTGTTAAACTGGAAATGTTTCTGTGTGGTTTGTACATCTTATTTTCTAAACTTAAGTCTTGTAAATCCGCATCGTAATCTTCATCGCTGTCACTAATGTCTTTATTTAATTCTGTTTTCAGCTCCTCTTCTCTGCTATAACTTGTGTTTTCTAATAATTCTGCGCCTTGATTTTTTGAAATAATGTTCGTTTGTTTGCTTGGTTTAGTGTTCAATAGTTCCTGGGTAGAATCTTCATCATCATTGACGTCCTCATCACCTTCATCATCAGCATCCACCTCCTCCTCATCATCAGTACTTATATCTTCTTTTTCATCTTTCTCTGATTCCACATCCTCTTTGATTGACGTTGATGCTGCATCATCTTCTTTGTTCTCTTCTGCAGCTTCAGGAGACAACTGGGCCTTGTAACAAAGAACAAACAATAAAATGAAACAGACAATGGCTACGTTCAACCTTGGCTTAACTTTGCCGGGCTTTCAGACTAGCGGGTTTGGCCAGGCGAGAATTTGCATAATAATGAACCGTAACCAGGAAACGTGTTTCAAAACATTGCTCGCGAAACGTACGCTCACTCACAGCGTACGTAATTGAATGCTGATTAGTCATTTCGTCACCTGAAGTCAATGCAAGACCCCCGCAATGATTAAAGCCCGGCTTAGAAAAGTTAAACACGGTGGCGCGCCAGGCCTAGTTACTATAAGAACACAGCCAGGCCTGAGATAAGCCACCTAGTTCAGACTGGCAGGTGGATAAACCCGGTGAGTTGAGCTGGGTTTATCCACCTTGTCTGAACTAGGCCAATAATTGATTAAAAAAAGGGGAACAGGTGGTATTTCTATTTAAATATTAAACATTAATAAGTACATTAATAATGATAAAATGAGGCATGTTGTGGCAAAATGGTTAAGTTGTCGCACAGTCCAGTATTGAGTAAATGAGCTATAAAATATAGGAGCTCAAAAAATTGCTAAAAAACCCAAATTTGTTTTTCACTTTAGATCAACAGTTTAATGTCTCATTAATCATATCCCAAAGTATTAGTTCTGAAAGCGGTTTAACAAATTGTTTATTTAACGTTATTTTTCATAGTTTGTTCTATTAAACAGTGTATGCACAAATAACTTTGAAAGGCAATTACTCAAAATCCTGTTTATCTTGACTCTAAGAGTACTGTACTTTCACTTTCCAATAACTTAGGCTTGAAATGTTCAATTTGAATGAATGACCTCTCATTTTAAAGATCACATACTCAGGTATCTGAAAATACCAATAACTTGAATTTCAATTTTTGCTACAACTTAGCCTTTTGCCACAACATGCCTCAAATGTACTCCAAATCTGTCTATAGCATGTGTCTTAATCAGATTTGTTTCGAATTTTATAGTAGTGTCTATGTAAATAATTAAATCAACAGTAAACAGTATATATGCCAATGTCATAATATAGTAATAATATTGGAAGTGGTAGAGGCAGTAGCAAATAGTACTATTAAAATACAGTAATAATGATATGTATAGCAAGTCTAAGCATAGAATGCCTTTGTTCCCTTCTGCAGCCTCAAGGCCAACTGGGCCTTGTAACAAAGAAGAAAAATGAAATGAAAAAAACAAACCAGACAATAATTGAAAAAAGAGAGAAACAGGTGGTTTAAAAAAAAAAAAATTAAACATTAATAAATACATTAATAATAAACATATAACAAACTTTCGGTACACCATGTGTAAATAAGTTTGTTATTATGTTTATTGATACTCGCTATGCAAACCTTCAAGAAATATATATTTTTTTTTATACATTAATAATGATTAAATCTGTCTACAGAGTGTATCATAATTAGCAGTTCTTCGAATTGTATATTGTTTATACAGTACAGTATCTATATACTGTAAATATTGAAATCAACAGTGAAGTAAAATATACGCCATATGTTATAATATACAAATAATAGCAATAGTGGTAGTAGCAGTTGCAATAGTAGCAGCAGCAGCAGTACCAGTAGAAGTTCAGTAGTATTAATAATTAAAATACAGTAATAGTAATATGTACAGTAAGCCTAAGCATAGAATGCCTTTATGTCCTCTAATGCACTATTATCAACCAAGTTGTAGATATATTTAGAATTTTTATGTTGTATATGACTCAAAATAATTTTAAATACAGTATTAATATTGTTTTTTTTTTTAATTTTAATTTACAGTATTAATGTTTAAAAACACGTAGAATACAGTATAAGACTGGAAACAATCCAAGTTTACAATATCATAAATGAAAACATAGGCAATATGCAAGTCTAAGTTTCGATTGCCTCTATGACCTTCAATTCAATAATATCAACTAAGCTGTGCAGTACTAATAATACACTGTAAATGCTTGAATAAGCACCGCACCAAATCTGATTTTTTTTTTTTGCTAAGTGCCACTCTCGAAAAAGCGCTACTGCACTTCATCAAGAGTATATTACCCTGTGTGTAATGAAACAGGGTTTTATATGTATACGAGTTAAAATGAATAAATAACACAATAAAGACACAAGCATTTCTTTATTTATAAATGTCAATTTATGATGAGGTAGGACCTATGATAGGTCTACTGAACTATGTGAGGTAGGTAACATGAGAAGGCATGGAAAGTGCCACACCAATATATTTTTTTTATAAGCGCCACTCTTGAATAAGTGCTGCACAGAAGCCTCCAAAAATTTTATAAGCGCTGCAGCACTTATTTGAGCTCAAATCAGCTCAAGTTAATAAACCAAAATGTGTGTGGAATATAGTTGCTATTGGTACCTTTTCAAGAGAGGCCTGCATTTCCTTTGTGAATCCACTTGCTGAAACATCAACGTCTAAGGAGGTTTCTCGTCTGAGCAGCAATAAACAATATTAAATATGTAAGGTAAGACTTCAATTTGAATCTAGTCAAGGTATTTATCCAAAATCATTTACAATATTATTACAATAATAATGTTTACAATAATAGTATTTACAATATTATTCATGCCATGTTTATTTCATACACTAATAGGCACTTTGGAAAATATGCAGAAACAACAAGTTGGATAAATGCAAATATTGAAATACTACCTAAAAAGTAAGGGCTTTGATATACAATATTCAATATACATTTGTCGATGTACAAATCAAACTGAGAAATTTGGTTTGGCTCTGATTAATGCTAAAATGCAAAAAAAAAAAAAAAAAAAAAAATTAATATAGAATATGGGTCACCCTTTAAAGATCACTTTTGGGCCAGGTGTTTCCATGTTCTTTAGCAGCTTTGGTCTCTATGATTAGAATATTATTAAAGGTAATAGACATTTGTGAAAAAGGGGCCACAGAAAAAGTGGTCTGTAACTTAAGATGGTCTTTTTGGAGGGGTCTTAAATTGGAGGGAGACCATAAGAGTATTCTGACTGAGGCTGAGGGTAAAAATCCAAATCAACCCCAACCATAACTTCAACTTAGCACCTTTGTATTGTATACACTGCAAATGTCCTAACTATTAGACCACAAAAGCATTTGTTATTTTGTGATAGACTTAGGATGCAGTAGAGTATAACATTTTGGCATTGGAATAGCAGTAATAACCATAGGTTTATAGCCACCTTTTATTGTGAATTAAGAATGGTACACAACAAGCAGTTTACAATGAATAAACAAGTTCTCGTAATCTCAAAAGCTCTAATGAGGGCAGTATAATAGAGGCAGTAGATCTAAAAAATATATATTAATCAATCAACTATTAATCAATCGGCTGAGAGTTTCTAGAGCTGTATAATAGAGGCAGTAAAGAAGATTAATCAATAAATTATTAATCAATCAGCCTTATGAGGGCAGTATAATAGAGGCAGGAGATAAAAAAGATCTAATAATCAATTAACTATTAATCAATCAGCCGAATGTTTCTAGAGCTCCTCATCGGAGCTAAAAATATAAATATAAGTGCAATACATGTTCAAGCATCAAGAAAAACCACACTCTATTGGGATGCCAGCCAAGGACTTGCACACATGTAAGTAACTCCATATAAAATATGCAAAAAAAAAAACTTAGCTCTGTCCACACTATCATATTTACTTTGACAAAAAACTGTTGTATGCCCATATATAGTCATGATGTGCCTAAATATGGTCATGATGTGCCTAAATATGGTCATGATGTGATGACCAAATTTAGGCATGACACATGTTTTTGTCAAATAAAATTAAATAGTCTGGACAGGGGTTTAAACTCCATCAACACTGTCAAGTTACCACATGTGACATACAGTTGCCCATATATGGGCATGATGCTGTCATATCACATCCATATATGGGCAAATAACAGGATTTGCAACATAAAAACAGAAAAATAAACAAACCTAATGTCAGCAAATGTTGGATGTAGTTCACTTTCATAATCAAACTTCCGGATAAAGAAGTCTCGGACACATTGAACATCACGATCAAAATACCTAACAATGAAAATAAAAGTTTCAAATTGTTTACTACCTTTTATGAACCATTATTGTAATAAATATAAAAATAATATAAATATAGCTTTGTGTCTAGCATATTATTTTGGTCAAGTTTGATCTATTGATATATTTCACTGAATCCATTAAGGAGTGACTTACCATATACAGGACAGGTTAATGCAAACAGTATTTAGCTTATAAAGCATTGTTCCATCCTGTGCAAGTCATGTGTTTGCTAGATGTGACAAATATAATAAATATTTAAAAACAAATAAATAAAAAAAATAAAGACTTGAATATTGTTAAAACTTACCATTCCGCATTTGCATGAGACGTTGAAATCATCTGGGGAAAGTCAATCAGTGTTGGCTTATCATTGCTGTCAATCAGAATATTAAACTCGTTGAAGTCTCCGTGGATCAATCCATGATTGGCCAGTTTAACGATCAGTTCCATCAAGTCATTGTACAAGCTGCTTGGGCTTTTGACGTCAGATACTTGATTTCTATAACAACAATACATTCTTGTTTTTATATTCCATACTAAGTTACATAACAAGTTATTATTTTTCATTTATACTTCAAATACCAAAAAAAAAAAAACCAAAAAAAAAAAAAACAGGACAGATGATTATGAAAATTTAAAACCATTTAGGAATTCCTGAAAAAAGTTCTTATGCATCAATCTCTTTGATGGAGACATTTCATAAATTCGACAAAAGAGCGTAAACAACAATGAGTATGAGTAAACTGAAAATATGAAGTCATTATTCAATTTGTATCAGAGGCAGCAGAAGTGGCAACAACAGCGGCAGCTATGGCATCAAAGGTGACAAGATCTCCACGGTAACGGGTAACTCCAGATCACAGTCAAGATCTTAGAAATAATTCAAATGCATAAACAGTACAGAATAATATAACTATGTACAAATATAAATCACTGTATCCTTACAAAGGGTATCCATTTATGAGTTCCATCACTACACAATGTCTGTTGAAGTCCACTGGTCTTGGCACGGGGAAACCATTATCGTACAGTGCTTTCATAAATGCAAACTCCTTCATAGCTGACAGACGGGACAAATAAAGCCAAGAAGCGTGGTTTCGTTTCCCCATGTAATCACGTTTTTCTTTCAACTTTCGGAAGGATGTTCTCCCAAGTCTACAGAATCAAAACAATTAATTTTAAAATCATTAAATATTTTTAACTAAAAAGGACTGTACTACATAATAAATATCAGTGTAGCCCTTTGTGAAACTGTGGAAACTACAAAACAAAAATTATAGCTGTAAAAGCAGCCACTTGATATACATGGGAGCATAAAAAACTTCTATAATCATTTTTACATAATTTAATGTATAATTCCAAGTTTCAATGATAATTATTACAGAAATATAGAATAAGATAGGTTTCCAAAATAAAATCAACTCATATTTCCAAGAAAGAAAGGCTGTCTTCAGATAACCAAACAAAATCTGGTAATGTATTTCAGGCCTAAAATGTTTGCATTGATCAGATTGCCAGAAAAAAAGAAAATTAAAAGATTTGAATCCAGGGCTCTGAGAATAAAAAGCAACAATCATGACCACAAAAATACATATTTAGTTCCACAACATAAACAAATAACTGTCATACCTGTGTAATTTTAATGCAAACTGTTCCTCTTCATCATCAGCAACAATATAAATATCTAAATAATAAAAAAAAATAAAATGTATGTTTTCAGTGATAACCTTATAATAATAATATGCTGTCAGCAAAAGACCAAGTCTATAGGCATGATTTTTATAGGCGGATTCTAATTTTTCACAAAAGGGCACTTTGAGTCCACATCCACCCCTGCCCCAGCCTGGGTTCCAGGCCCTAATTTTGAGTTACTCACATTTTATTGCGCTTATTGCACGCAATACCTAATTTATTTGGTACCCCATACTCTATATTTTTTTTTTTTTCGGATTAGGGCCTGGGCAAATGCTGCTTGATCATCCATGTGTACGATTTAACACATCAAATTTAATGTGTGATATTGTAAGTCATGTAATTGGCTTACCTTTTGCATATTAATTATTGAGTAATCTTTGTAATTTTCGAATTGAAGATGTGCGGTGTCTTGACAGCTAAGCTAGGTAGCTGCCTTTTGCGCTCCTACTTGAATTAATTTAGTTAGTAAATTAGTTCTTGACCTGCTGAACGACGTAATGGACTGATAACCGTTGTAGTAACTTACAGATAACCCTGCTCACCGCTAAGCTACACAGATTTAGGCCTAGAGTACTGTAAAACATTGTTAATAAGGTACTGTATTATTAAGTAAGAACTTAAAAGCCCACCAGGCCTCTTTCTACTACTATGTACTATAGGCCTCGTTAGTAGGCCATCCTTCTGGATAGTTGTGCTGTTCGTTGTAATATGGGCCATCTAGCCTAAGCTTATAATTCGTCTTTGCCATTCCCTACTCGTCCTAGGGTCTATTCTATGTATTTTAGGTCCATTTTATTATGGAGGCTATTTTTAGCCATGCCTAACTAGTCGACGCGAGACGTGATTCAGTTTTTGTACACGTTCATGGCTTTGAAAATGTGAGCATAGTGATTGGTTGAAATCGCATATTTTGGTCAGCCCATTTATCCAAATACGGAATATAAGATTACGTCATTCTTTTCACATCCGGCTACCTGCATGCAATGTTTTACAATTCCCTTATTCTGTCTCTCAAAATTAACTTGCTCGTTGGTGGTGCTGTCCAGAATGAGAAAAAATAATAATAAGGGACTTTGTGCATGTCCCTTTAGCTGCACTTTCCTCTCTTCACCGAGGAGTATAAATGGGTACCTAGTAGGTGGTGAATGATTTGGAATGAAATTAGTAGTGCTGATTACGCACATAACTACTGTAGGAATACTCCCCAGGGAGTGGAGGAGGTTGCATGTTGTGAATAATTGATTCTGTAATCCAATGACAAGAAAAAAAAAGCGCCTTAAGCAGTTATCTGGATATGTGTGCTACAGTAGATAAAGAGAATAAAATAAAAATATTAAACAAAGTAAAACTACAGCAATCATGTACCCTGGAAGGATAGGGATTACTCATCTCAAACACCATCATTTTGGCTTGATCAAATCTGCTAATGTAATAGACCTTCCCGCTAAGCCGCGCCCCTTGGATATTCTAAGGTCCTACATGCAAAGCACATGTGTTTGTGAAACATGCACAAATTTCTATCCTAGTTAAGTTAAGTTGCAAGTTTGATTGACATTCTGGAAGGGTCACTTGCTGTGTTGATATTTACAGACTAATGCATTTATGTACTGATCAATATTATGATGTTGATGTAAACTCCAGACTGACCTGACTCCTTGCCGACTCCAATCTGATTCCCGACGGAAGTGATGATGTCTCTCGTAGCAAGGGCTTTTAGAGCGAGGTAGTCATATCCTGGGTATGTCAGACGATATCCTGGACCTGTATTTATAAAGAATAATAATTCATACACATTTTTGACAAAGGATACATGATGCTTGCACATTCAATGTACAGTTATCTTCACCCCTTTGGCATGCATACCATAAAATCTCGAATTGAAGCCCTGAGCTTTTTTTTGTGAACTTTAGGTGGGTTTCTTTTCGAGGCTACTTTCACAGAGTAAACAAGGGGTGTGGGGTCTTCTTTTCAAAATGAATGCTATACATTTTGTGAATTTGTACTATAAAACAATAAATAAGGCCACTGTAACATCAATCTGTATCATGGAGTGTATTTGACTGGCATTAAATCATCTAAACAACTGTATAAACCAAGCTTCTTTTTAATTTTTTTGTCTTTTTGGAATTCATGTACAGTGTATGTACTGTACTCTCTCGAAAAGAAGCCTATGCTATCTTTGGCTTCTTTTCAAAGCTAATTTTCTAAACGAAGGAGGGGAGCTTCAATTTGAGATGGGCTTCATCTCAAGATTAAGCCCACTGGGCTTCAATTTGAGGTTTTACAGTACTTAAATAATCTACACACAATAACATACATAACATAACATAACATACACTGTAACATCAATCTGTATCATGGAATGTATTTAACTGGCATTAAATCACCTATACAACTGTATAAACCAAGCTTTTTTTAATTTTTTTGTTTTTTGGAATTCATGTACAGTGTACTCCTGTATTTACTGTACTATCTCAAAAAGAAGCCTATGCTATCTTGAAAAGAAGCCCATGGGTTATTTTTCGAGATGGGCTTCTTTTCAAAGATAATTTTGTAAACTAAAAAGGGGGGCTTCAATTCGAGATGGGCTTCATCCCGAGTTTAAGCCCACTGGGCTTCAATTCAAGGTTTTTACAGTTCTTAAATAATCTACACACAAACAGTAAACATCCATAGCATGAACTATTAAATCATGGTCACTGTAGCATCAAAATGTCCCAACTTTGCCAAGCACAACCCCTTTGGAAAGTTTACAAAAATGACAGCGTAAAACTGTACAGTATATAGTATTATACAGTGATTTGTATTATTTGTATTATACAGTATTTGTATTATTTGTATATTATACAGTATTTGTATTATACAGTATTTGTGTGTTTGTGTGATACAGCATATGTTTCTGGTCCTCTCCGATTGGTTAATTTTAAAGTTTGATTGACATTCCGGAAAAACCTACTTACACTTCCCATGCTCCCATGCAACTAACTTTTTGGCAACAAGATCCTTGAGGATCTTGTGGCAGCCACCATGCTTCAGGCTGGCAATGGAGGCTACTAGCTCAGATGGTACAATCTCATGATTTTTCATTCCCATCTCCAACTAAATAAACAAAAATAATATTTTCAAGTTATTACAGCAAAAGCAAACAACTGGAACAAAACATCAACAAGCAGGATAGGTCAAACTACCAAGAACTCACTAATCATTAATTCTTTGACAAAAACATATTGTTCCCATCAGGATTTGAACACAAGTCTCCAGTACCAAGATAGCTAGCAAAGATCTTATAATAACCAGATAGCGTTCTCCGCAGTCTGCGTGTTAAGCTCTGTCTACACTATCAAATTTTGTGTGACAAAAAAGTGTGATATGCCCATATATGGGCATGATGACATCACACCATGACCATATATAGGCATAGCATTACTATATATGGGCTTGTCACATTTTTTTGTCAAAGAAAATTTGATAGTGTGGATAGAGCTTAACAAATAGAAGCGTCCAATACACGCAGAAAACAATAAAAAATAATTGTAATTGAGAGAGGGCGTCCTAGTTGTTACTAAGGCAGTTGTTTCAGAATTTTCAGAGATCATAGATGTCAAAGTTCAAAGAGGGCGTCCTACACCACGTTATTACAGAATTTGCATGCACAAATCGCCGAGAATGCTATCTTGTTATTATAAGATCTTTGCCAAGAAGGCAAAGCTTGAAATATAACAGTTCAGTTTTACATTATCTAGCCTAGCTAGGGCCTAGGCCTCCAAGCTAGGCCTAGTTCTAGACAGCCTGTCTTTTTTGTTATAATAATTAATTAGACTGTCTGTGGATCTCTTCCTACATGTACTTGGACCTTTTCTTTAATAGTAAAGTAGGAGCAAAATTGAATATCCTTTAATTATTTAGTCTGTATTGTATTATTTTGTACCGCCGTTCCATACACATAGGCCTCTGTCTACTGCTACTACTAGGCCTAGGCCATTCGGCAGTAGAGGGCCTAACCTAATCTACCAGTCCCTAGCATAGGCTAGAAAAAAGAGGAACGCCTAGGCCTAGACACTACTTACTGCCGTCAAAACTCGGAAATCCTCTTTTGAAAGGTATCTTAACATAGATACATTCAGCTTTCCCATACTGTAAAGGTATTATATATGTAATAATTTGAATTGTAATACTCAGCTAGCCTTTAATAGCTTCATCTGTTTATCTTCAACACATGGCTCACCCACAGCTCCTTCGA